CTTTTTTTTTCATTTTATTCTAATATCATCCTCGCGCCGAATATTCCCCTTTTTCGTTGACAGATTTATATCGTAATTTACAATATTAACGTGGATGTTTTATATTTTAACTCGATGACAATACATATTCCTATAAAATTCATATTAATTTTAATTCTGTGCGAGTTACAGCTTTGATCTCTAAAGCTTAATTTACTTAAAAGAACTCCGTTCTTCAAATAACCCATTCATTAAGCGACATTTTGTATAATATCCTATTTTCAAGTAGAATGAAAAATCATAATAAAATTAATGGTAAGAGGACATCAGGTAGAAGTCATTTTAGGAAAAATCGTAATGACATTATTCAATTTATTGTGATAATGATTTTGCGGTGAAATTCTTGACATGATAATTTTTTTAAGTAATTTTTTTTAAATTAAAAGTCATTGTTATATCAAGAATTAATCATCGTCAAATGTGTCGGATGATATCTCATTATGATTTTTCCTGAAATAACTGTCATCTTGATTTTATTACAATTTTGCGTTTTACTATTATCTAGGATTTCAGACAGTGATATTATTTTTATCATATCATATAATATGTCCATTTGCTGTTACCTTTCCTCACCTTTTTCTTTTGGCCAGTCTTCATCGACGATATTTACTACCCAGGACACGTTCGTTCAAGAACCTTTTCGAAAGTTGAAACTATACCCATGGGATATACGCGCGCGAAGGTATTAAGTAGCCTCCGAATTCCCTGCCACATGGCCTTTTCGTGATTAACATTTGGAACGGAAAAGGCATTCTAAATTAGTAAATGGAATTTGGTTCTAAAATATTATAACAACGTACCGTTGAGTTCGTGTGTCAATTGATATAAAAAATGATCTCTTCGTAAATTATTTTATACATTACGAACATGATGATTGTGTTTGTTGAGAGAGGATATAAATTACAAATCAAGTCTTGTGAAAAAGAATAGTAACGCGAAGAATCTTGTTTACGTAAGAATCAGTGAAGGAGAAGAAATTATTTGTTGATGGATGTGTACTCTCTTCCTAAATCCAGTTATATGTATTTCATAATAAGGTCTAGGCGATCATATTTATCTTGAAAATCTAATCTTGCCATGCCTCATCTAAAATGAATGGTGTGTGGGTTCGGTTCACGTAGCAGGTCCAATCAAAAGCTGGCGCTGTCACTGCAAAATGTGCACAAGATACGTGGATGCCCGACGTGCATGTAACCCTGTGTCGTGCGGTATTCGGGTTATCCTCAATACCACGTGGAAGATAGCCGCAGAATCTCGCGGGAATTTAATTTACACTTGGCAGATGGATGGTGCTTCGCGTACAAATGCGAACCGCAACCATTCTAGCCGAATGTGACAAATGTTCGTATTTACAGTTCGCATTTTGCTCATTAAATACTCAACTTGCATGTCACTGCTAAATCCGTAATTATAAACAGAAACATTCTCTCTTAGTCTTTATCGATATTAATGATACTTCAAAAATATATTTGACGGGAGAGGAAACACGCTACTGCGTATTTTCTGATATATTATAAAATATATAAAAAAAATAATTAAAAGTTTTTAATTTATATTTGAATTCTACATTTATACATTGAAAATGACCCGATCGGAGTCGAAACGTCTGAAAATTTTATATTTATATATATTTTAAATTATACGTACGTTAAACATATTTGGCTCTGTGCCCTTTTTCTTATTTGTATTGTTTTATACATGTTGAGCCTTGTCATTACTTATTTTTATACTTATTTTTAATTAAAAGTTTTTATTTTATTTAAAGTATAAGGTCTTTTATATTGAACGAGCAAATAGGATGACAATCAAAACAAAGACATCTTTTATTATTCTAATATGATATTTTTACAGGAACATTTCGAGCTTTACTTAGCTTCCCTCATACACAGCCATATATAATTTCAAAATATATATCATAAAATATATGTCATAAAATTTAAAACATTATAAATTATAATTAAAGATAGTTTAATATTTAAAAATTTGTGACCACTAACTGCATCAGACTTGTACAGCTCTTCTATTAACGTTTTAAATTTCATGTTATATTTATGAGAGTTTTACTAAATTCATCCTTCTTATAAAATATTATATTATGAAAAATATAAGATTATACGTTCGCGAAGAATTTTTATTATGCATACATTCTAAAATTCTTTTTCATAGTGAATAAATGTTAGCGAGATATTATCAAAAATAATTATAAGATGTTCTATAAAATATAGTGCCCCAGATACATTTCATATGGTTCGACGCGAGACCGAGATCACGGCCAAGAAATTTAATGGACTAGAGGGAGAGACAGCCCGCGTGGGGGCTGTGTGGTGCTTCTGACAAAAGCTTTAATGACGTACGATGGTAACCTTCGTGAGGAGCGCGATACATATTCCGGCTGATATGCATATTTAGTACCGTTCTATAATCTTCTCCGTAGAAATACACGGGGCACTCTGCCAAATCAGTGAAATTGAATCGGAAGAGAATTTTTAGGTGAAGCGCTTTATTACGTTATTATATTTTGGAATGTCGAGGTACGCTCTCTCACACTCGCTCCGCATTTCCAGTCGAGTTGAATTAAGGCAAACTCGCTTGATTGGAATATCGCGAGAGAATTGCTCGCATTTATTGTACTCGCCATTATTCCCGATCCGTTTGTAGCAAACAAAAAAACTTAACAAATACTACGCTATACGAACAATATTTCTGAATGTTGCATTTAATTTAATTTAATTGTATTATGCAAGAGAATTCAATTTTTAACAATTATGTACGATCTTTGTATTACCAAAAGAAACAATAAATAATAGTGCAATTTACAATTTCTATCGTTGGTCAAATCGTATTATTATTTCATCAAATTATCAAATTGAGAATAATGCATATTTCATTATAGTTTTGGTCTTTCAATATTGAAATTTTACTAGCGATCTCAGAATCGTACACGGAAAGAAGTTTTATTGAAGTAACTAAGAATGTAGCTAGATACGCAGATCTGAAAATAATTTTGTTAGACCATTACAATTATTATATAGAACATTTAAAAAAGTATTTCTGTTTTTGGTACTCTTTTTTTAAACAATTTTTTTTAATATAAAAAAAATTATAAACTTGAAAATTGATATATTTATTCCTAATATTTAGCAGTAGTAAAGCTTTATTTTGTTTTTAACATTCCTTGATAAATTTACAAATAATTGCAAAAATTCCTTTATAACGTTTGAAATAATTTATAAAAAAACTGAAATATCAAAAAAGAATTTAAATATCAACGTTATTATTAATACCAAAATGTTGCAAAAAGTGAAAAATTCTAGGAACGAACTTGAGCGTCCTACAGAATTATATTGATGATCTAATAAAACTATTTTTAGATCTGCATCTAGCTAAATTTTTAAACACTTTAGTAAAGCCATTCTTTTCGTGTGGCTAATCATGGGGCACTTCACACCGCGCTGGCTATTATTAAATTTTTCAAATTGGTCAAATCGACCGGGTGCACCGGCTCGCTTTGCATTATTGTACGTTAGGTCGCGTGTGCCCCTGGCTACCTACTTACCGCGCCTTCAGTGTTGAATTCGTTTTTTTTCTCGCGGACGCTGGCTTTCTTCTTTTATGTCCTCAAGTAGCCTGAATTGCTGATAAGCATCGCATGTCGTAATACGAATATTTATAGAAATGAATTTTGCATTTTTATTCTGATTATGCGCATCGTGCGGGTCCGCTAAGTGCCGATTGTTGCGTGCCGCGTTGGCCCGTGTGCACGGTTGAAGGATGAAAGAGAAAAATGGAGCGGAAAGGCGAGAATTACAAGAGAGACTATCGTGATAGACGACATCAAAAGTCCTCGCGATAATTGCATTTCTTAACGTCAGTAAGAAGTCGGTGTTACTTCCTTCTCTAATAATGCCGTACTATCGCACCTTGTTCGCTTAAAATTACGCCGAGCGATTCCTCGCGGCGAAAATCAATAATGAACCGTAATAATGGCGCTGTTATTGTTAGCAGCGTGTAAATGCGAATAACGTAACATGCACATTTCACGTCTTTGCCGTGTTACATGTGCGATGTAAGGTATACGGTAAGATATCCGACTCGAAGACAGTTTCTTCATTTTTCATTCGTCTAGTACGTTATGCGCGTATGTGTCGCTGCTGAATTATTCATTATGTTAAGTGTTTTTGGTTCTGATACTAGAAGACAGAATTTTCCAGGCCAAAACCTCGTCCAAGAACTTGAGATTAATTATTTTGCCGTTTCGACTTGTTGATTATGTTGCGTTAGACAGTATAAAGGTGACGTTTTATTCTGTCCATGAAATTTGCATCCTATTATTTCCTTTTTATATACTTAATTCAACAAAATTAATCAATAAATTCTTAATTGTTATAATTAAACTTCCATTTAATCAAATTAATTTACTCCATAGGTTAGAAATGTCTATAATAATGTTTGTCGCTGTGAATAAAATATTCTCTTAAATTGTATTATAAAGATATTATTAGATTACATTCTTTGAAGGAAACACAGTTTCCATTTGCCCGTGCAAATATATATGTATCACTAAGTTCGTCGTTCAACATGTTTGAGACTATCTTTGATTCCATTTCTCTAAAGATGAAAGCACAGTCTGAAAGATAGAGCAGAGATATGTCAGCGCGACTTTCGGACTGAAGCCAAATCTATAGAGAAAGGCATATGTCAGCGGAATATATCTGAAATGCAATCCGCACTGCTTTTATAACAAGTCTACTTCGGTTCAATGTATTTTTGCACAATTTATTTTATCTTTATTCAGATGTTAAAATAAAATATCAATAAATGAAATTTAATTAAATAGCTAAATTAAAAATGCGCTATATAATGTCAAAACACAATATGTAGGATATGCAAGATATCAAATTATATTATATTAATTATATTATATTTTATTTTATAAATGCAATCTATTTATTTATTTTCAGGAAATCGCCGCCATCCTAATCAGTTTTCAGAGGCATGCCGAATGGCAAAGTCGGGAGGTAAAAGTACGACCACGAAGTGGTTCAATGTTACTGTACTCGAGGAAGAAAGTACGCTACCGGCGGGATGGTTATTGTTGGAAAAAAAGAAAAGATGGAAAAACTACACGGGAGGATCACATGAAACTGAAGGTAATTTTATGTTAAATAAAAAAACAAAAAGAGTATTCAATATTTAAAAACGCTTGCAGCTTATTATTATATTCTATCTAAAAACATATTACGCTGTTATCTCTATAAGGTAATTATTTCTTTCCTAATTTAATAATCATTCATTCTTTAATTTTTATTAATTTCTATTTTTATCAAAATTAAAGTTTAACTAATTTAATAATTCTCTCAACTAAATATAAATTTACTATTTTTTAATATAAACTTTCTATTAATATTATAATAAATTTACATAAAATTCTGTAGGGTCTCGTATAAATTCCATTAAAATTCCATTAAAATTCCATTAAAATTTACAAAAGAAATTTTGTAATGAATTTTTATTAATGTATCATTACACTAATCTAATCACAGGTTCAGGGTGTCGAGTGCATCTACGGCTGTTACGTGCACTCGGCGATCCTTCCAACGTTTCATCGCCGGTGTTACTGGCTACTGCAGAATCCGGACGTGGTTCTCGTCCATTATCTGAATGTCCCTTATCCGGACGGTGATGCGAAGCTGGCAGCCCTACCACCCTGTCTCGCACTGCCACCTGATAAGAAGGAGTGGACGCGAGACGAGCTAGCATCTCAATTAAGGCCCATGTTCCTCGGTGGAGATGACGATCCAAACAATCCTCATCTCACGCAGCACTCGAACCATCCCGTCGACATGATAGTCTCTCAGCTGCTCGATAGACAGAGGGCATCCTCCACTTCTTCCACCAGCAGCACTCAACTTGCACCTAGGAGACTTACGCCCGACAATCAGGTATTATACACACACACAATCTGGATTTTTCAACAATAATTTATAACATTTGAAAATTATTTGTCGCAATTAATTGGTCACAATAATTATAAATATGTTTCTATTACGGGTTAAGAATTTTTTTTATAAGAATTATTTAATAACATTATTATGTAATGTGGTCCCGTAGTCAAATCAATTTTAGCATATGCGACTATGTATATACATACAGCTGTTTAAAACAGGTCTCTTCGACAACGGGAGGTCAACAACAATCGACGACGGCGGCTCCGGCTCCCCGCGTATATTCAAGACATTCCCATTCTACTCAGAGTCAACAGCCGGCTCCTCTAGTTTTAAGTTTGCAACAAATTCAAGGCGGTGGTGGTCTTCTGATACTCAACAGTCAACCATATCATCATCAACAGCAACAGCAGCAACAGCAGCAGCAGCAGCAGCAACCGCAACAACAGCAACCGCAGCAACCGCAGCAGCAGCAGCAGCAACAGCAACAACAACAGCAGCAGCAAAGTCAGCAGGTAGAAATGCAACAGGTCACAGAGCAACAAATCGTACCGCAGACCAGCGTCGATCGGGAACAGCAGACGCAGCAAGAAATCGACGCACAGGAAAGTTTGGATAGATCTGCTGTACAGTCTCTACCAATGGGCGGTTCTGGTTCCGAGGTGACCGATTTTGCGGAGACGCTGGATCTGAGTCAGGAAGATATTCAGAGAACACTGTCGGCCAACATGGTGCCTCCGTCGCCGTCGCCTTCGCCGGCGGACAACAACATGATCAATCCGATGGATTTTATCGACTCGTCGGACGACGTGCTGGTCAATCTGGACGCATTCGACGTGTTCGGTGATTTGCCGGAGCTGCACGACTTCGAGGCCGAGCAGACGAAGCACGAGGAACAGCGAGGTAGTTCCGAGAACGACGTCGGATGTCATCCTGGTACAACCGTCCATATTGCAGAATATAGTCCTGAGTGGAGTTACACCGAGGGTGGTGTAAAGGTGTGTGAATAAAATATATATTTACAGTTTCCTTTTTTTCATGGATATTCGCTATGTAACATTATTTTAATATTAGTTATAATTTTTCATTCAACACTACATCTATAATTATAACGAGTGGGGAAATTATAACTAACAGTTATGTTATACTGTTAGTTAGCGTTTACCAAGATTTGACATAAACGGTATTTCAGGTATTAGTTGCTGGTCCGTGGACCGGCGGTAGTGGTTCTCAGTCGTATTCGGTACTTTTCGACGCGGAACCGGTCGAGGCGTGCCTCGTGCAACCAGGTGTATTGCGTTGTCGATGTCCCGCACACGCACCAGGAATAGCGTCCCTCCAGGTGGCCTGTGACGGTTTCGTCGTGTCTGATAGCGTTGCCTTCGAATATCGTAGAGCGCCGACAAGCGAACCTAGCCCAGAGAAAGCTCTGCTGGACCGTCTTGCGGATGTCGAGGCCCGTCTGCAGGGTCCGGGTCCGCCGTCTCCTGCAGCTCATCTGGAAGAGCGACTGGTTGCTTATTGCCAGGTACTTTTTTTATCACCTGATATTTCTATACCGATCATTAAAGTTTAATTGAAACTATAGATAATTATAATAAGTTATAAAACATAATCTAAAATTCAGTTCAAATCAAGCGAGGCATTTTCTTATTTGGTTGTGTATTCACATATCGGTTTAATATCATTTATTGTTGTTTAAAATTTTATCATTTTAAAATATTGCAGGATGCTGTTGTCCGTCCTTGGCGAACTGGAGCAGAACCTCTTCAATCCGGTGGGCCTACCCTTCTGCACCTGGCGGCCGGATTGGGATACTCCAGGTTAGCCTGTGCACTCCTTCACTGGAGAGCAGAAAATCCTAGTAATGTTTTAGACGCCGAGGTTGATGCTCTTAGGCAGGACAGCGCCGGCCTTACGCCACTTGCTTGGGCATGTGCGGCAGGGCACGCCGACACCGCCAGAATTCTTTACAGGTTCGTAAAAATATTCTTATTTAATCAACATTTGTTTAACATTAATTACGAATAACTGGATCCAACTGTTCTGTTATTACAAAATTTTCACACTTCCGCCTTTCGTGTAGCTCGCAATTGCCTCTCATATCACGAATATATTGATTTTTACTAAGTATTTGTTATTAACTCTGCCTCCATAGATGGAATGCTATGGCACTACGCGTGAGGGACTGTCAGAATAGAATGGCGACTGAGCTGGCCGCGGAGAACGGTCACACGGCGATTGCCGAAGAACTGAATCAACTCGAGACCCGAAGGCAAGACGAGAGGCTTTTCTTGCGACCCGCCAGCCCTAGCCCTAGGCGGCCATCTCAAGACAGCGGTCTCGATCTAGCGTTGTGTTAGTCTCGTTTGTTATTATATACTGCCCTCTCTTCCGTATACATGCACACACATTCACGTATCTGATACACGTATAGTCACACCTTACCCTTTGCCGATTAGTCTTCTCAGCGCCATTAAATTTTCCCTCGTCCAGTTTGTAAAGACTGTAGAGTAACAAAAAGGCCGTAAATCATGCGAGCGTAATAAATTAGGCAACGTATATAGTATTAAGTGGGGTTTATCGAAATACACACAGGTGGTTCGCCGCTGCTGGACAACATGGAATTGTTGCAAGAAGATGAGTCGTCATTAGGCCTCAGCGAACAGGGAATGGAGAGCGCTCCGACCCCTCAAGAAACCGTAGGTCCGTACCTTCCTCGTTTCCTCATCTATTTGTCTGTCTGTCTGCCTGTCTGTCTGTAAAAACTATCCGTAATTCTCTCTGTTCTCTGTGACACACTACCGATAGAAACGGACCGGCCTAGACGTACTACCACAATCACGTGGCCTGCGAATTTCGTAGAAATCTTAGCTAAAACTGCGTTCACCTCCCTTGTTCGCAGACACATACACATATACACATTTATTACACATACATAGACACAAGTATATACGTACAGCAGTGTTCTCTTTCTCTGTCTATCTCTGTATGCGTACTCAACGACCGAAATCGGTCAACAACTCCGCTGCCTTCTCTAACTCCTCTGAACTCTTACAGCTTGAACAATATTGGTGTTGCTTGGCCTTCGTAACTGCTGGTGTTGGATGAATTGCTGTGTAATGTTTAAATTTTCTTAGCCACTTACTGTTGGCTATCGAGGCTTATTCTCGAGCAATAATCTTGTCTGTATACAACTTTTGAACGATAGTATAGCGACTAAATTATCACTTGGACAGACACGCGATCTGCCCAGTCAACCAATATGGAGGTATCTCAGCTGGCTATCATCTCAAATAAGTAGGAAAGCGCCGTGTTTTCACTAGCGACTTGTCTGATTCTTCGTGCTGTCATTTCGTGTCGTAGCGACGCACTTGGTGTTAAACATTTTATCTGACATTGCGACAGTATCTCAATGCATCGTAGAACACGTTCACGGCTTTTAAAACTTCGGTGTTGTGATCGATGTGATTTCGGCGGTCTGCCACCACGAGCTTTTCGAATTTGGCTAGGGTGGTGATTCCTTTTTATAGGGGAAGAAGACGCGAGGGTGCTGACATTGGCAGAGCAAATTATAGCGGCGCTACCGGAAAGGATCAAGAGGGCGGAGGGTGATTCTCCGTCTTCTTCCTCACCACCACCACTCACAGCGCCTCTGTCACCCTTAGAAGATGCTCTCATGGAACAAATGGTGAGGGTATCACGTTATTATTATTGATAGTCGGAATGTCGCATCTTGTAGAATCCTTTATCCTAATCTCTACTTAGATTCTAAAGCGAATTAAATATAAGTAAGCGGTTGCGCATGATTAATTGGAACGTTGGAACTTTCCTAAGTGAGACAAAATCTTCTGGCGGATATAATTGGAGAAACAGCACCATTAACAATTCAGTCTTGAATTATAATTAGAAGTAAAACTTTGGACTAAGTCGGATTAGAGTTTTGATAAATGGAAGTTTGAAGTTCCTGGATATTCCGTTATAAAGTTCTATTTACATGCTAATCATTTTGCTTATAGCCTCTCGACTCCGGGGAACTGTTCGACTCGTATCGTGACTGCAGTGGCGGCGCCGCTTCAGTCTCGGACGCCGATGCCGACGCCAGTCCCTCGAGTCCCTCCAGCAGTTGTTTGACGCCAGATTCGCCGTCTCCGCCGCCCATCACCGCTGAATTCTGCGACTTTCTGAAACTACAATTGCAGCTCGACAGCAATGGTAACGCTCACAGTGGTCAGTACTACTCGCCGAACGGCGGTGGCGAGCGCAAATTGAACGGCATGATCGGTTCCGGAGCCATGACGGCGATCAGTGTCGGAAATGGCGATGGCAACGGTGAAGCGGATCTCAGCAGATTGACGCTGTCCGATCGCGAACAGAGAGAACTTTATCATGCCGCTAGAATGATCCAGAAAGCATACAGAAATTACAAGGGTCGCCAGAGGCAGGAGGAGGCTGAAAGGCATGCCGCCGTTCTAATTCAACAGTACTATCGTCGTCACAAACAGTACGCTTATCACAGGTAACTTCTTAGATAGCCAAACTTGCAAAGGCAGATTTTTAGCAGCATGCTACTTTTCATAGTAGAAAGGCAACAAATTTCACATAGAGTCTGTAATATTTGATTATGTCGACGAACTACCAGAAACATGACAAACCTTATTGACATGCTATTGTTAGTAGATCGCGTGCGGCAGAAACACAGCAGAATTTACGACTTCTGCTCTATTTCTCCTGCCAGTCTGTTGTCAGATTGCCTGCGCGCACAGATGCTGTCCGATTTCTGCTATCAATCTGCTGACATTGCATGTCAGCAGGCTTTGTCGATTCTGAACTTAATACGAACACAGATAGCTATGGATTTGCAGTGGAATTTGGTCGAATTTGCTGCCAATCTGCTAACAAACATTTACTATCTGAGTTGTCTATCACTTTGCATTTTTATTAATTTTATGGACAAATGTTTTTATATTTATTCTTACACTTGATTTTATTATTGTTTTATCACTATTGTATCAGGTAATAAGAAAAGTTCTGTTATTTTTTTAGAACTACAAAGTTAAATTCCAGCAAATGCGTATAATGTATTATATAACATTAATTATTTATTTATATTTGCTGGAATGTATGTGACATGAAAGACCTAATAGATTGCACTACGGTATCAGAGTAACATTATAAATAAGACTAAATAAAGAAAAAAACGCTGCAGTCCACTTATATACAGAAAATTAGAAAGGAAATGCCATAACATTATGAAAATTGACTCGGAAATGAGAATTTCAACCTATGCTATTTATGCTTATATGAGTTTAAATTTGGAATAAAAGTTGAGAAACAAATAGTTCAAAAGATATATGTTTTCCAAGAAGGCACAATCCAAAGGCTGTAAATTAAATTTAAAATTTATTTTTAATTTCAACTCATACAAGCACGAATAAATGTGATTAAAGTACTCACATTTTCGGGTTAATTTCCACAGTGTTATAGTACCTCCTTTCCAATTTTCTGTATATAGTGTAAGTAGAATACATCTTATTTTTAGTGCCACTGATATTTGTAACGAAGTTTACTAGGTTTTTCGAGGTATATGTATTAAATTTTGTAGTTCTAGAAAAACGACAGAACTTTTTTTATTACCTAATATATCTTTCCATGTTTATATTCAGAATGGCCTATTTCGCGCATTTCAACGTTTCTCCTTCCTTCTATCTTAACATTTCGCATGCCATCGAACTTCCACCAACTTCGAAAGTCTTAAGAACAGAATGAATCACTCGCTGTCTGACTACAATGGTACTAACTACTTTACGCGACGCATGCGACGTTTAGATACAAATCGTCCGACTTTATGCGGGCACGTGTTATCAGGTTTGAACTCAAGGTTGTTAAGTATGACAGATCATTATCTCGCATCGCGCAGACATCGCCAAATTGCTTCGAACTTCGAAAGTTAAATTTTCATCGATATTCCGCTGGTCGAGAAGGTTGCGGGGAACGTCTTAATAAGGGACAATTAATAACTGGGGGACAAGACGTACCATTGTGAGCCGACTTAACGACCTCCGACTGAATTAGACTGATGCCACCAAAGTTCGATCCCGTGTACCTCTCTCGAGGCGAACTTTTAATTGGCATCGTAAATAATTCGGAAACTTTGCGGATTTCCCTGCTTTCGTTACGGTGGCCTGAATACAGAATTAAGTTGGCATTAAATTAATACGACTTTCGCGTTGGAGCTAAAGATCAGTATTCCGCCGTTACTCCTTTCTGCGTTCACCAAGTTATATACGTAGCGATTTGAACTTCCTGTTGTAATGTCTCCGAAATTAGTGACAATCAGCAGACTATATATTATCATTGTAGAATCTTCGTGGAAATGTAAATCGTGAGAAATAATGAAAGTTATCGGGCATATGGCCAATTCTGGTTATCATTTATCGCAAAACAAAGATCTAAATGCATTATCACGTTCCATGTTGCGCTAATTTTAGATAATATGTCCATCGGTGACCTACGATATTTTCGTTTAATCTTTAGAGGAGAGATACCTATTTTGAAAATCTTATAATTTCTTTTTGAGTAAGAGTTGTTAATATAATTCACTATTCTATTGTATTTTTTGTCCTCAAATAACATTGTTTCAGCGCCTATAATGGCTTTCCTACCATGTAAAATTTAAATTTATTATAATTTACAGTATTTGTTGAATAAAACATACTTAAGAATGTCATTAAAAATTAGAAAAATTATTATTATAAGGCTTGAATAGCGAGTTTAGTGTGAGTTCTCGTGGCATAGAGCGCATCAGTTTATAATAAAAAAATTTTTTATTTTTTTAATGAAAATTATTTCCTTTTTCTCTCTCATTTTTAAACCTTTGTACGTTAGCAATTATTTTAAAATTTCGTAAGTTATTTCACGCAATGGCTCCATTGTCAAATTATTTTTTAAACTTGGACTTTAAGTCATATCTTTTATCGTAGGCAAGCTACGAAGGCAGCGCTGGTAATCCAGAACAACTATCGAAATTATCGCTCGCGACCGGGCTCGGCCAGCACGAGGCAACAGGCGGTCCATCAGCAGGCGGCTCATCAGGCAGCGAGGAAGATCCAACAATTTATGCGGCAGTCCAAGATCAAGTTAGTATCCTCGTACTATGTATGTGTGGTGTGTGTGCGTGTGTACAGTGCTGCATTTCTTGTTGCAACGATGTGCACGCACATTAGTTAACGTAGTAGAGACTTCTTGTTAGCACACGAAAGGCTTATTATCGTATTGAAAAAAACGAAAAAGACAAAGTGTAAAAGTTCTAAAGTCTCCCTCTTCTGTGTGTCACTAATGCAGCTTGTCGTGGGACGATTCACGACCGGTAAGTAAAAATCTCATAATTGGACGGTTGCTTGTTTTTCGACAAAACTATGCTTGCTTGCATCTCTCTCCCCTCCGCCTCTCTCTCTCTCTCTCTCTCTCTCTCTCTCTCTCTCTCTCTCTCTCTCTCTCTCTCTCTCTCTTTTTCTCTTTATTCTCTCATTCCTGTTTCATCTGTGTTAGAGGGAGTTAACGCTTTCGTCATCATCGTCATCATCTTTCTTCCTTCCTCCCCCTCCTCTCTCTTTCTCGCTCTTGATTTCCACTCTATTTCACGACACACAAATTAATGAGTTGCACATCTATATACCGGAAATTTAGATATAATACGTGTCATATTGTCTCTCATATATTTAGCAATGCTTCGTGTTTACTGTTTGAATGATATATAATATTTGTGTATTTGTACAACAAAAGTGTATACTCGTCGCTTAGCGACATAAAAATAGTGAATTGCTTGATAATTTGTTAATAACTCGTAGACGGATAAAATGTATTGCATGTTTAAACAAATAAAAAATTAATGTTTATATTTTGCTATGATTATATACATATGTTACAACTTTCAATTTAAATATTTCCATGAGATATCGGAATTAATATAATTTTTTTTTCAATAGTGTGAATATTCTTACATTCAGTAAAAAAAAATATTAAGTTCATACATTTACTAATTTAGAAATAATCTTAGTATACAAGCCCCTTAGTTGACAAGTGACATAAGTCTGCCTTATGAGCATAAGCCTTTTTCCACTTGACAACTAAAGGGTTCGTATGTATGTAGTATATATATATATTTATTTATTTTTATAGAAAAAACGAGCATCTTTATTGTCAAACAATATTCGAATTACGATTTTTAAATTTTCTATTGATTATTGTCCGGTGAATGTTTGTCCGTCGATGAGTTGCCGCAAAGTACATATTACGAGAAGTGCTTATAGATGCGTTTGTTTGCCTTCCGGTATATACTGCCTGATCATTCGGTGTCACGTATGCACTCAAACGCAAATGATGCGTGTTTTTTTTTAATATGAAACGTATATTTCTTGAATCAGGCTGCAGAACGCCAAGGCCGTCGCAAACGGGAGCGGGAGGCTGCCAGCGGTCATTTTACGGGCGGCTGCTGTCCCCCAAAGCTCGCCCTCATCTAGCCCAGGGGCCAGCCTAGTAGTCGCCAGCCCGGGGGTCACCTAGTTGACAGTCAGTCCAACGGCACGCGGAGCAGCGGCGACGACAATTCGGTAGCGAAATAACACAGCCGGTGACGAGAGCCGTTGGAACGAGGCCCCGGAGCGGCCGTCGTGACGCTCTGAGGGAGTATGCGAGGTCGTTAACGACGACTACAACTATTGCGAGAGGGTACCAGACGTACGACACGGATGATATACGATTTTGTTCTCTGCGTCTCTGATTTGCGTACCCGATGGTCGATCAACGTCAAGTCTTACCTATTCAATCTTTTTTGTCCCTCACACCATTATTAAATTAACACCGCGTCTCAATTCTCAACCGCTCGTTCATTTCGCTTGTATCTTACGCTATTATCGCACTGTACGCGTCCCTGCATCTTTCTCGAGCGAGTATTGGAGTAGCAGTAAATAGGCGAACCTATCGTAAGTAGATTTGCTAAAAATCTATACGAAATCGATCGACTGAAAAAGCTTGTAGAATACATTTCTCCTCTCTCGCTTAAAATACAAAATATATGTATTCAGCGTATCGTGTCTCTTCAAGAGTACGAGATCCGTTTGGTCCGACATATACGTTGATTCCTTGCTATACAACATCGCGACAACATCGAAGTTGACGAGCCGTTCCCGTGATATTTTATTAAATCCTTGTATGCACCGAGCTGAATCGCACAAAATTGTTGTCGCTTTCGTAGGTTCAAATAGCTTGTGAATTTGCCACCGGCAGATTCTACGGGAAACCGCAGGTCCTTTCAAAACGAAATATTTCTTCTCTTTATAAGTGTAGACATGTGTTTTTCCTTTGATGGTATCGGTCGATCGGATTCGAGCCTTCTTTGAACGAAGAACATATAGACTGATTATATAAATTTTGAAAATTGTAACATACAACATGATGAAATGCAGTGTTTGTTTTTAGTAATTTATATTATGCAACTTTAAATTGAATTTAATAAATTTCGTAATTTTTGAAACAATAAAAATGAGATACTATAGAGAGAAATTAGTTAGTTTTGATTTACTTAAAAAGAGAGAATTCTATCGACTTGTGTCATCAGTATCATATCAACCGTAGTTTTACCATTTTTTACAACAAAAAATTTTTATGTAGAAATTATACTGATTTTTTCGACAAAACATGCACTGTATAATCTTGCATAGGCAACAAGTAATATTTTTTTATTCTTTTTTCTAATATATTTTCATCGATTTCTGCTTCTAAATGTACAATTCTAATCGATTTAAGCGAAATTGCGACTAGGACCGCATCGAGGAAGGATAGCATCTGCGAAGAAAAAAAAAAGACAGCAATCTTAATTGAAGGAAAATTATTCTAAGTTCATACGAAATCTTTGTGTTTAAACTTCTTTGGAATTGTTTTCTAGTATTTTATTTATTTTGGATTTTGAGTTTAATGGATGCTAATAGATAATAATTAAATTAATGAATGAGTGAATGGATTAGAATATGAAGGAGCGATGTGAAATTAATTTTAAAAGTAATAATGAATTATATTTTGACGAATAAGATAATTCTCAGAAATATGAAGAGCGAAGGTGAAATTCCAAGTACGAATTGGGACACAGTTAAAATATTAACGATTTACGGGATTAGATTTTTTATTTCGATCGGTTTTCTTCGAGCTATATACTTTTCTTACATTTTTACAAGATACATAGTTAAATTTGATCGATACACGAAGCTGGACACCGCATTTCTCTCATTTAGTGCAAATCTAATAGCACAGCATCGAGAATTTACTGTACATAATTAGATGAGAAATTGTCATTCATAACGTGGCAGAAACAGTCTTTCGTGTACAATATTCGTTTTGCTTAAGAGACGCAAACTGAATGAAAAGTGCTATACTTTGATTTTAGAAAATTTTAGAGAAAGCGAGAGTAAATAGTGGAAAATAGAGCGAGGAACAAGCGGAAAGAAGAAGGAATTATTACTGGAGAATTAAAAGAAAAAAAAAAGAGAAAAGAGAAAAAAAATGAACTGGCCCTTCGTCCAAAGGGCACGATTTCATCCACGGGCTGTGCTAGTCACAGTATATAATCAACTTCGTAGAGTTACTTTTTAGAACATAAGCTAGTCGATTACATTGTTACAAAAAAAACTACCTACCGTTTCTCTCTCCGATAGGGGATTTTTTTAAAGATTCTCTAGCGTAAAGATATAATTAGCGATTAAATTAAGGGCGTAGCTGATTGCGGACGCGCGCGATTGCACGGCGCGCGAAGGGCGTGAATTGTCCCGGCGTTCAAAGTTTTGATCGGGTGGACAAACGTCTATTGTGATAAATTAATGGTGATCCAAGAAAGTATTTCCGCGCAACGGGACAAGGGGAGACGGAGATAAAAATCCACGTGTCTCCGACGTACGTCTCCGTGTGCGTGTACACGCACGCGGGAGCTCTCGCTCTGAAGTGTGAAAAGAATAAACGGAAACAGACAACAGACAGACGGATAGAGGATCCGAGAGAAATATGGCGAGCTGATATTACGCCGTGCGGGATCTGTCAGGGGAGTAATGCGTCGATACCGCGCGTTATAAAAAAAATATGTAACAGATGCTGCGGAATGCCGAATTTTTTTCGAGACAGTAAATTAACCCATATCGACCCTCTCCCCTCGGGGTATGTTTCGCAGAACTCACAGCGGATTGTGAGATCTAATAGAGCGACGTAATTGCGGAGCGCGAGATGGGGTATTACCACAATATATATTGTACACATGAGTCAATTCCAACGAGCATTTTCATGCCATTAAGCTTAAAGGGTTATTAGTTATTAAAAAAAGAGAGGCGTGCGCGGGAAGCAGGAGGAGGGCAGGGAGGAAGGAAGGAAGGAAGAACGGAAGATAACAAATTCTTACACTCTTTTAATCATTGTTAATTAATTAAAATAATCACGATCCTATCGAAATACTTAAAAAATGAGTAAAATAATTATTATATACACAAGAAAAACTATTATTATATATATTCATATTTTTGCTTAATACATATTTAAGAATCTAATTAAACGAGGGCTAGCGATTATAAACGTAGCGGGCAAGAGAGGCGTTAACGATAACGATGACGAAGATGATGAATAAAGTCTCAAGTTAGGGATAATTCTAGTTAGTCGGGCTTGTCGTTATGCGTGGCAATCAGGTTCCGAATTTAAGAAATAATGAAGAAAGACGATACAGTACGCGCGCGGTCTCGGCGGAAAGACCAAGTCCTCGGTGAAATCATACGCAACCGATCGAGGACGGGGTGCACTGTTCGCTTTTCACTAGGGTCTTCATATAAGACAAGTTGAATACAATATTTTTTACCCGCGGAACGGCGGACAGGGGATGACACACCGACACCGCGCGAGATATTTCCGAAGTTTCGCCATTGCTCTACTTTCATTGCATAATTAACCACGTACACCGAGGGTAAGCTGGGCGAAGGTATATTCATTGGGCCAAGGGCTGAGATGGGACGAGGAGAGGAAATGAGGAGGGAGGAGACTGCTGAGAAAAAGAGTAATTTTAATTAAAGACATCGCTAGGATAGGCGCTTCGATGAATACATAAACTTTAAAAGTCATTTATAATACAAATTATTCTCAAAATATAAAGAAGTTTAATAAGTAAAGGAGAAAAAAAAATTTTTAAATTCTACGTAAGGAAGCCAAGAGTCAAAGACGACTAGATGATAGGAGCCGCATGGCCTAACTGCTGCCACTTTAATTAATTAAATAAATAATTATAACTTTATTACTCAATTAATCTCGATACAACAGATGGGAAATAATGAGAAAAAAAAGAAGGATACCTATAACACACTTTATCTCATGCCACTTTTCAAACTACTCTCTAGATGCAGAGACGAATCAGTAGGTATATTAATAGCGGACTATTAAAAGCAAGATTAAAACTAACAGGAATTAATTCTTCTTCTAAAAATCAGGAACGATCGAGATTCGCGCTATAGATTCGAGATATTTCCAATTGTCCATTTCTCCAGAATCGCACGAGACAGCGCGTTTATTCGGGACTTGCCCGTGCAGTTTCCGCTGTCGCGAGCCCGCCAGAAACCTACCGGCCCTACTGCGAAACCGTGTTTCAAGAATCCCCGAAATCACGCGAAAGTTCGAGTTCCGACGCCACGAACCGGAAGTACGCGTTGGCGTGTCGGAATGCGGGCTATCGTGGTTTCGAGGACCGCAAGCGCCGAAGCGGAGATGGTTCTGCCACGGTTCCGCGGGCATCACCGAGGCTGTATTCGGAAACGTTATCCGAGTGCCTACATATATTGTTTGATTTTTGTTGCTGATCCAATGTTAAACAAGGATAAGATGATACACAAGGACACCCAGATAACGTTTTCGAACGCAGTTCGATATATCTCTCGCGGAAGGTCTTGCGTATATTTTTTACAAAAAATAGAAAAAAAAAAGGAAAAAAAATCGAAAAGTTCGGCACGGTCATTCGGAATTTATCGCGTGGCAGGGCACGATGGGACACGGGCTCGCGTTCGCGCAAACACGCGGCGCCCGACGCGCGTTGCACGATGTCGAAAGGGTCGAAACGATCGGATCGGTGCCTACCACAATTTGTACAGACACCGGGGATATCAGAAACACACGAAAACACAAAATTATAGTATGAACACAAAATTACACTAAGACCACAGACCCAAACAGAGTACAAATCATCATGACACCAAAATGGCATCAAAATGACTCCAAAATGATAATTAAAAGTGCTTTTTCAATCATTTCTGATTAATTTTAATGTCGTTTTGACTTCTGTGCCTAAGCAGAACTTATATACGTTGTTCTGTTTGAGTACAAAAGTCGAGGCAAAATTTAAATGACTTTATTTTGATTTTTAACGTCAATAAACAATCAAATTTTATAACAAAAATCATCATTTTGACTTTTTGACGTCAAAATAAAGTCATTTTGACTTTCTCTTGATATGTTTCTTGGGTAAAAGTCATTTTTCAATCAATCACGATTCATTTTAATATCATTTTGACACGTTATTGTGACTTGTTCTGCTTTGAGACACATGAAAAATTACAAAGACCCAAAGATACGTTGTTCCTTCGTCGCGACGGTCACTTTGTACCTGCTTGCTGCCTGCCTGATCCTACACACGATACAACTCCCAGTCTCGCGTGGCGGCGTTCATATACCATACAAACATGTACGGGACACACACAAAAGACACTCATACAGCATAGAAAAACTTGCGATAATGATTGCGTTCAGTATTCACTTTGAATATTAAAAATCTATAGTATACATCGCGTAAAAATTATAGATTATTAATACTACCAGTAACAACGAAACGCAACTATTGCTGCAATGTTTGCAATGTTAAGAACGTTGCAATGTTCGTGCAATATTGTTAGAGCGATCTGTGCTGTCTGGGTACATATACACACACATATACACACACACAGCCTTTTTACTCCGCTCGACGATTGATAACGTCCAAGCATGTCGCGTGTACTTTCGTTGTGATAATCTGACGCGTTGCGAAAATCATTTCTCCACGTACGTCGAGAATCGAGCTGATTTGCCATTTGTTGTTCAGTCCCATCGTCGATTTTTTCGCGATAGGGAGAGAGAAAGAGAGTGAGAGAATGAGAGAGAGGAAGAATGAGAGAATGTGAGAGAGAGAGTGAGCGCAATTTTCCCGGAATGTTGATGATGGTTTCGACGGCTGTTTCGACATCAATCCGCTCTTGACGTTTCCGCGTTTCGAAATTCGGGCGATCGCAAAGAACCTCGATCCTCTCACGTTATTACTACGTAATTGCCTGACGAGAGATCGAGTAACCGAGATCGAGTACCCGAAATCAGGAAGTTTCGGAACGAGGACGACGTATAGATGTGGCACGTACGTGCTAGATTTTACTAGCGGAAACGAATAACGGTAAAGGCTCCATCTCTTGTAATATTTTTATTATCGCAAGCGTAATATTATATATATATATATATAATTAAATTATATTATTAAAAATAAAGGGATTATGCCATTGTTTATTATTTATTGACTAACGTTCGACTAATATTGTAAATAATAACGAAAATATTTTATCTATATTTCCGATCTCCGGGGGGGCGCCGGGCGGGGGTGGCGTATTATCTCTTATCTGCCTTCGCGGCGATCATTAACGGTCGTCGTTTCGCCCGCCCCTCTATTGTTACACCATTTCATCACATTGCATTTAATAAATTATATATTTATTGACTCACACTTACTTTTCACTTGCCCTACTCACCTTTTCACTTATCTCACCCTCTTCCTGATTTACTTATTTTTCTTGTGACTCTCTTCTCTGAAACATTTTAAGTAACACTATCCAACTTTGATAATTATCGTTAACGTTCAGGTAATTACAAGTTTCAGAATATTTATAAATAATAAGAAAGGATGCGCGGTCATAATAGTCATCCTTTAGTAAATTATGAGATAAATTATACATTTTGTTAAAAAAAATTGTCGGAAAGCAGAAAAATAGTCTACCTGTTGGAGAGATTACGTTGTGAATAAGTTCCCTTCGTTAATTAAACCATAATAAAATAATGCGAGAGCTGATTTAGTATGAATACCGAATATCGTATGTAGTTACGTCTGGACCAGGATACAGCGAGTAATATCATTACGACAAGTTAAGGAATACCCGGGCAAATAATGATCTTAGAATACGTCGTAGAAGTTGCTTGTAGAGCTTCTATTGATACTAAGATAAACTTCCAGTTCTAACTGCTTATTTCTCTCGAGTGGAGTACCGAACCAAGACTTCGCGAACCGCTAAATTTAACGATCGTATTCATAGTACAGAAGTAATAATCCTTTCTCGCTTTATCGGAACTGTCTAAACTGTTTCACAGAGAACACATAATAATACATCTCAAAAACCAAGAGGCAAGTGGTTCAGAAAAGATTTATCTTGTCATTTTCCTTCCGCAACAGTTTATTTAAAGCATACAAACGGTACAAACTTTATTTGCTGTCACTTTGCATATAAATTAAATTTAAGTCGCTCAGATATCGTGCATGTACGAGAAGGAGAGAGATAGGCAGGAGAGATAGCGGGTGTGAGATAAACAGGGAAAAGGCAAACATGGCCGTGAGTATTTTTCAAAGTGGAGAATCGACCGGAGTTCAAAAGATTTTCTCCGAGAATTTGGACCGCTCGCTGTGCCGAGCAATTCTATTCACGCGTCGTTGCGCTCGTCGATACGATTGCTATTCTATTTTTTTTTTCTTTGTAAGCTTTTCTCTCTGCCATTCCGTCCGTTTCGTTATTTCTTTCATCCTATATCGCGTCGTGCGCCGAGTACATGAATTCAATATTCGTCAAAGTGACACGAAGACCTATCCGGGGTAAACCGCAGAAAAGCAATGGCAGATTTACGTGTTTTGCAACTCGAAACGCGGGGAGATTGGCTTGTGTGTGTGTATGTGTGTGTCCGAAAATTTTTTAATAATAAAGAAATTAGCTCGAAAACTCCTGCTATTTTCTATTTTATCAATTCCCGCCAGCAGTTCCAATGATCGCAAAGCGAGAAGAATAGAAAGAGGGTAAATAATCATCAAAATTTGTGGGCTTTCAAATTGTTCACTAGATAATAAATCAACCTTGTGTAAAAATAATATATATTAATAAAAATAAATTATTTTGTTAATCTAGTCGCCAACGAAAATACTACATTTAAGATTTCACACACATCAGAATTAATCATTTATGCTGCAATCTGTGATAAATAATCATTTTCGTTTTTACAATAGATTTTTTTTTATTTATGAAGAAGCGCGAAAATCATCATATTGTAGTAAAAACTATTTTCATCATTTCGTTAGACCAAATTACGAATGCGATGAATTTATTATGTTCAGACAATATGGAAGTTATTTTCTAGGCAATGTGTGAATAATGAAATAAATTGTAACAAATTTCATAAGATTTACAAAAGGATTTTCAATTATGAGCAGTAAATAAAAAAATTTATGTTAATATTAATGATGAAACAGACTATGTGTGTAATAATGTCTCCCCAGCTAATTTAGCAATAAATTTAAGACATGCAAAAAATCTTATTAAAAATCACTAAATTAAAGTATCCAATATTGAAGTATATTTTTCGAAGTATTATATATGATATACATATATTAATTTTAATATAAAATTGTAATAATTTATATACCCTCTATATTGAAACAGTTTTATTTCCTTTTATTTTTTTTCAATTTCGAGCTTTGCTAAATATTCGTTAGAAAATTCAAATTGAAAAGTCAGTGCGAGTAAACTATTGGAAATTTTAACACTCGACTCCGTAGATTCAGACTTGTAGACGTCAATGTATTCTTTTATCCAAATATGCGATACTGTCTATAAATATTTGCTCATTAAAATTGCTTATTAAAAATATTAATAAACACGAATATCGGTCAATACGATAGGTATCCGTTTGATAAAAGATTAGAGTTTCTTCAGTATTAAAATGTAATCGACGAACTCAGAATACTTGAACCCGGTGATTCTCGCGATCGCAGACGACGATGTTGCCTGTTGATGTGACGGCGACACCCTCGAGACCTTTGAATTCACCATCACCGCTGCCCCAACAGCCGAAGGACTTGAGGAAGGCGCCGTCGGGGCTAAAGATCTGTATACGATTGTTGCCAGAATCGGCGACGATTATGTAGCCTTGATCATCTACGGCGACACCCCGCGGGAACTTAAATTGGCCCTCGTCTGAGCCCTCCGACCCGAAGGACGTCAACACGCGGCCGTTTACATCGAATATCTGCACGCGATGATTGTTGCCATCGCTGACGATCACTCGGTTGGTATTGCTTACCGCGATGTAATGTGGGTGTTCTAACTGACCGCGTCCACTACCACACGAGCCAAACTTACCCACAAACGTACCATCCGATTGAAATACCTGCAAACAGTCAGATATAAATAGTGTTATCAAAGCTAGCTTTAGATGCTGTGCTTTTAATAATCACAATTCATACTCTCCGGAGCTGACATGGATCAATGTTACTGACATTGGTATATCTCTTCGGAGCTGACGGATCTATTAAACCTACTATGCCGTGATTATTTAGACAATATAAAGATGAGAAAAAATAATTCAATTTTTTCTGTAAAGTAATAATGCTAAAATAAAAAGAGTTATAACTACTGCTTTTTAATCAATACATATTATGGCTTTCACAAACAAAAAGTGTCAGTATAACCGTGTTACAGATTTTTACATCAACTTCGGAAAATCAAAAACATTAAAGTTTGCTAAGCCTATATCTCTCTTTTCACTGTCTATAATTTTATTTTATCTGATAATATTATCAATAAATAGATATATCTGAACGAGCAAAATAAAATTTTATATTAATTAAAATTTTTTTCTCTCAAATGATTAATTAGCTAACTGCCATTTTGTTGCTCGATTAGCTTTACAATAAGGTACGCACCTGCACGCGGTGATTCTCCTTGTCGCATACGTAGATGAATCCGAGAGCATCGGTGGTGATGCCCCAAGGATAATTGAATCGGCCGTCGGCGGTGCCCTGAGAGCCGAAAGCTCGCAGGAAGCGACCGGATGGATCGAGCACCTGGATCCTGTGGTTGTAGCGGTCCGCGATGATGTACTGCCCGATCCGGTTTACAGCCACCCCGGCGAGGCAATCGAACTCACCCTCATTGCTGCCGTATGTTCCGAACTCCTTCATGAAGTTCCCATTACCGTCGAATACCTGCGGACCCAGCGGTGTGGTCGTTTACATTGAGAGCCGATACTAAAATCGGTCGACCGCAATAACCAAGTCTAGGACGAGAAATTTTTTCCTATATCTTATTTACGGTTGTCGATATTATGCGAGCGCCCGTAAAATCCTGAAGGCACCATACCTCAGCTTTATGAACTCATATCGGGTTAACTATTATTGCTTTAAGCGACGCGATGAATTTATCGAGGAACATATGATGTCAATATTAAATTGGAGAAATTACTGCGCGACAGAACGAGTCAGAATTACAATTTGTTACAATAATGTAATTTTTTATCAATTTTTTAAATAATTAATAGTTTTATACCGTTGGAAGTTTACTACGCCAATTGACCCGTCAAATAATTTCACTTTTCACATTTAATATTGTATTTAATTCTAGAATTATCGTACGAAGTCCAATTAAGCTAAAAGCTAGGACAAGCATTTAAGAATTCCGTTATCTGTTTGGATCCTCTAGCAGTCAATATTTTAACAGATCATGATAAGTGATTTCAATTTTTGTGTTATATATATTTTATTGGTAGATGTCATAAGAAGACATCTAACACATATTTCGTATCATTTCGAGATTAAATTTGTTAATGTACACAACTGTCAATTAAATTTGTTAATGTATAACGTTGAAATCATCATTCGACATCGAATTGACATCGATTCCATTGTTATTTCTCTTTAGAAAAGGTCTACATTATAAATATTTTGTCATTAAAAGAATAAAATGTATGAAAATCTGTTACATTAAAAGTGGCTTATTTCCTTTGACGTAATATTTACGTATCAATACACATTCTATAGTCGAGATAATTAGATACTCAATTATAATGACTGGATTTCTAATTAATGTGTGATCAGAATTTTCTGATTTATCTATTTTTAACCGGAAATTTTTCTCAGCGCAGCAATACTTTCAATATTAATAGCGTTATATGATTAAAAATAATCAAAGACGACCAATTTTAAAAATTACAAGAACGACTTACTTGAACACGATGGTTGGAGCTGTCGGCCACGACGATGGAGTTGTCCGGGCCGACTGCGAGGCCTCTCGGCCAGGTAAAGCATCCGGCTTCGCTCCCCCGCATCCCGAACTTAAACAGCTGCCGTCGCTTCAGCAAGTAATGACTCCTCCGACCATTGCTAGAATCAATTAACGGAACAGTGAATAAAGCTCATTACGTAAAGATTTTCCATCTTCCGGGCGGAATCGTCTGGTCATATAGTTAACCATGTGGTTACGCGCAAACGTTCACGTGAAGAACGCAGTTATTCTTCATCTGATAAAACTCCCAAAACCCTATTGTATTAAGAAAAGTTTGCAAAGAGAGAGTGCAAGGGGAGAGAGAAAGCGCGAGGGAGGAAGTGAAAGAAGCAAACTCGAATATAGTAGAGCTCTGTATCTTCATTGTGTGTGACGCTGTTCTTAGCGGAATGTTTTTCGTAAATCCACTTTTCAAGAGAGACGCGATGTTTCACTTCAGTAGAAACAGCGGTAGATCTTTGAGAATTATGACCGCGAGAGAAGTCCCGGAGAGAGCAGCGCAGCAGATAACGAGGATAAAGTGTTTTGATTGCAGCGGCTGGTTCTTCACCGACGGACCTCTCACAGTTCAAGCATACGCTCGTCCGTGGAATATTTAGAAAGCCACATGCGTTCTTTCTAACAGCTAGTGCCTCTTGTCCTTTCTATGAACTAGAGGAAAAGCAGATTACAGGAAAACTTGCTCCTCTTACTCAGGTGCAAGCTTCGCCAATAGGAACAGGAAAACCGAGCAAAACTTCGCGTCTCGCATTCAGCCGTTTCTTAAATTGAATTTCACGAAGATACGACGCTTTCATTCGTAAACTTTGAAGAAAAGATTTGTAATGTCGTGAAAAAGAAAATTGAGACGCCAGAATTGTCAAATTGTCTTGTCTCTTGTTTTTTACATTGTCTTTTACGTAACGTAATTATGTAAATAGACGTTGGAGATAGGCTTTTACGTCATCTCCTGCGTCTTTACGTAACGTAATGTGATTAAGACTTACCTAGTGGAGGAACCTGCTGCCGCGGGTATAACGGGAGCTGCTGTAGGGGACGTGGGGGAGCCTGACGGGTTTTTTTGGTCGTCGTCAGAGGATTCAAAGGATGTTTGCCCGGTGTGCCTTAAAGGCAAACCCAACGACAACCTTCGCGAAGCCGCACTGGTGCTGAAGAAATTATTTTAGCATTCGTATGAAATTATATTTGCGTTGACAATAAAAGAAAAGTGTTTGGTATTTATGACTACAGATTTGTTCGCGTTGTCAAGTTATCCGTCGTCATTTTAACGCGGTCATTTCAAAATGACGATAAACGACATCAGCTTATTTACTGAAAAGATTTATTTACGGACAGAACTCATCGTATTTAAATTTTCAAAAAACAAGTCCTTTTTGACTGTACAAAAATAATGTGCGGTGACTTTTTTAATATCAAATATGAAAAACAGAGTCAGAGAAGTATAAAATGTAGATTTTACCAATGTTATATCGAAATCTTGTTTATAGTTATTACTGTTATAACGTTAATTGTAATAATTATTTTTATAGTTCTACCAAAAAAATATATAGTTGACACCAAAAATGAGACTGATAAATTACAATTGCAAATTTTTCTCTCTCAGCATATTAATCTCGCCATATTAATCTCTGATAATAATTAATTACGGATATAATCGGATCGCTATTTCGTTTTCTTTCATAATAGTAACGTTCTGTATCATGCTGCATTAAACTAGCGCATGATGTAATCTGTAATAAATATGGTGATGTGCCTAATAATTACATTGATTCCAATGCGTGCATAATATTCTGAGCCATTGTGCGTACAATGCGATTAAAGCTTTATTGATACTATGTGTCATTGTATATTATGCTATTTGCAATGTGATTCGTAATTTATATTCATTATGTGGAAAATAGACAATTAATTACAGTCGTGCGTGGGGGCTTCGTCAAATACATATTTACAATAAACATGAAGCTCTGACAAATTACAAAGATTATGCTCGCTCTCTGCTTTTCCACGTTGCGTTTCGTGTATGCTCATTAAAAATTCTGTACTCGAGCCCACCTGGATGAAGGTATCGTGGAGGACGAGGAGGGCGGTTCCTTGTCCTTGGTGGTACGGTTACCGTATTTATTCTTGAGGTATCTGGCCCAAGAGCTCAATGCCGCGCCGTCCTTTTCCGTGCCCGGTCGATCACGTTCCGGGCTCGGCTCTCTTGACTTCAGGGCGTGGGTGCTGCGACTTCGTGCCAGTTCGGAGCCGGCGCCGTATTTCGCCGCCAGGTAGGCATTCGGTGACTGGGTTGTCGGCGATGGTGGTTCTTCGTCCAGGTCAAGGTCTTCGCCGCCAAAGTTGTGCGAGCTTCTGGAACGGGCCAGACGTTGTCGGCGTTCCTTCAGAGCTGCGTAACGGGATCTCGTCGACAAGGGTGAGTCGATATCCGCGTCCACGTCTCGTTCGCGTTCTCGCTCGCGATCACGCTCTCGCTCGCGTTCACGCTCACGTTCGCGTTCACGTTCACGATCCCGTTCACGTTCACGTTCACGTTCTCGTTCGCGAGATGCCATCATTGCCGCTTGGCTTCTGCTTTTGTTCAAGAATCTGAAACATTAGGTAAACAATCCGCTCGGTTCATCTGCATTAAGAATTGTTTCTTTTTATGTTAATATCGCAAGATGGAATCACTTTACTCTTGCAAAAATATCTTCACAGTAGATATAAAAACAACTTTATGATATTCAGTCTTTAAGAAAATAATTTATTGTTACGATCAATTTTCATAAAGTTTTAAAATAAAAAAATTATTAATTTAAATTTTTCAAATATATGTTAGGCATTAATTATAAAAGTTGCGGTTTAAAATTTGATAAAAAATTCTTTGTTGCATATAGTTATTTATACAAGAGCAAACTTCCATTTGACACGTATTACGTTTAATTCAACAATTATAACAAGTCATTACTGTAAAATACTAGCATAATTAAGCAGCAATAAGAGTAGTATTTATATAATCTCGTTTTATCTTTTTGCATCATGTATTTGCTAGATGTAGACTCTACAAAGAAGCAAAATAGACTCGTTGTTAATTATAAAAATGTTAAAACAACAATTAAATTTTCTATTATCACGTTCTCTAAATATTTTTGTTAATACATCTGTGAAAGGATATCTGAATTACCTCGAACATTTCTAAAACTTTTGAAATATCAACCGATAATCCTAATAGTATAAACAGTTTAAAGTTAGTTCATATTTTCTGGCGATCAACTTTTCCGAAAGAATTTTTTAACTATTCTCGAGTACCCTATTTTTCTTGCTCGATTTAGACTGCGATTATTCAACTGAATTCATGTAAATTTCAGGTAATTGCACGCCCTAAACATTGGAGGGTGGATGCGAGTGCTTCGACCCCAACACGCTTGTGGGAAAGATGATACCCATCATGAGAGCGAATAGTATCTCTGCGGTCGTATTTTCAAATGAGACCTCGCTTCGGACTATTTTGGTGCATGCGTGCCGCGTAGTGCAGACTGCGGTGTGTAAATGGACGCGCGTATGGACGCAATATCATATAACTAAAACGTTTATCGGTGGAACTGAATAGAATATCTGTATTTTGTTTTAATTGGAAAACTCAAGTCATTTTCAAAGTAAAAATGGCCGAAAGAAGTACCTCGCTTGTGCGCATCGCGCATTTATCACATTAACTGCACTTATTAGCGGTACTTTTATTATGCATTCATGAAGATAAAGGGATGTGTACACACACACATAGACACACATATATACGTATTCATTAGAAAAAAATACTCGACATTGGAAGAAGTAATTCGTTAAAAATTACGTTTGTAATTATTACCATTTTGTAAAATTAGTACTAATTAAACCCCAGTACGCCGTGTATAAATAACAAATGACATATTTACTAATTACAAGTGTACTACATTAAACTTATTTTGTGCAGTGTGCCCGCAGGAAACGCTATTTATGCGAAACTGAGGCATGCGCATTACACGCGAATATTAAAAGACACAATAATACACAGGCGTGTCGTAAATTGCATACGCTAATGAGTACGGGGGTAACAGAGTAACGAAGTTAAGGAACTAACTGCTTTTCATGTACATGTTGGTAGACTTTGTGTCGGTACTATTATCTCGTTTATAGGATTAAGCTTATGAGAACGAGATTTGCATTTGATTGTCCGCGAATCTATTCATTGTCCGTGATGTACAAAATTCTTGCAATCTCGAGTTGTACAGAAAGTGCGGGCGCATCAACGTCAGATGACTTTGAGGTTTTACATAGCGTATACAAACGACAAATAATAAGGGCACACAGGTAATGCTTTGCGAAATACCTGTTGAAATTTTCCCGCTTATCGCTCAAAGCATTATTACAGATATGGAAAATCATTATTATTACATACAATCATCTCGAGTATATTAATTCAACGAGATAACAATGAAATATAAGCTGCGAGATCAGTGTAATTAATTTCTATGCTAATTGCGTCTGAAGTGTGGTCTGTACACTTGCCGGAAGCGTTCATCGTCAGTGAGCAATTTATATTACTAGAAAGTGTCATTACACTTGTCGGATCGTGACACTGCGGGTTTTTTTACGCTTTTGGCTTTAATTTGAAAAAAAGATCTAATGCTTACGAAGCAGCCACTGATCTGATTCGATTCCAGCTCCATGGATGAGTGCAACTATCGGGGACCACCGATGCGCCACACTTTTTATCACAGATTCGTGAGACATCCTGTATACATGACTATGGTGAATATGCAGATAAGTATTTTACTATGATTTGTCATGCACATTACTCTCGTAAGCATTATTATCGAGAAGCGAAAGTTAGAGCTGTTAAGACAAGACTTATAAGACAAGAAAGTTGGGAGGTAATGTGTTTAATATAACGTCTTTGCCGTGAATGTTACTTTTTTTTTAATGATAACAATAACAATCTGTAACGTTAATACATCTTTACAGTAATAATAACGAATTCAATCGTTATTTTTATCTTGTTATTTTAGTGTCCTTTACTATCTATTTATTATTTGAGTTTTTTGATTACAATGTAAATTCCTGAAGATAAATTAAAAATAAAAATATTAATATAAAAAATTAGAAAGTATAAAGAAAAGTTTTGTATGTAGAGATTAGTTTTTAAAATTAAAAATTTTAATACTAATTATTACATTTAATGTTGATTGTTAAATAATGTAATTTTAAAGTCTAATATCCTATTTCAGTATTACAGAAAAAATAACGATAAAAATAATGAATCATTACTTTCTAAGTAACGGTAACGGTAATGCACTACTTTTTAAAATTATTTTCGCGTAACAATAACGTTATCCTGTCCCAATTCTGTTAGAAGATAATCGAAAAATTCGAAAAGAATTGAAGATATTAATAAAGTTACTTAGGATTAAAAGATTTAAACAATATTTAGGCTACTTCAGACTTTATCTCATTAAAATGTTTGATTTTAAATTTATTCCGATATCTAGCATACAAGACTCTAATCATATAATAGCATACAGACACTAGCAATTCATGTAAATGATTATTGTTGATTAACCACGAATAACTGGGGAAATGTAAATCTCATTGTATTAAACTGTAATTAACATCCTGGGGCGAAGTCGGTGTTGCGTAGAGTGGCGCGATGCGGATGAAATTTTCGGATTGCGTCAAACAATGTTTATGTAGGTTCGCTCGAATTTGAGAAAGTTCATGAATGTCCGCAAACTCTGGTATAAACATAGTTTATCGCACGCCCGGTTTGTATGACTTTGCACTGAACCTCCCCCAACTAAGTTCGTATTTCGCTCGTATTAGGTCGGGTCCCAGTGCATCGGTAGAACCTACGTGTCATGAAGTAAGAAGTTTCCAGTTTACGAAACTGGTAGATCAGATTGCGGCGTGGATCGATGGTTCTACATTTCTCCCAAACGGTTATGTAGGAACAGCGAAGTTTCGACAGTGTCGATTCGTTATAACGGCGAGCAGGGTGCAACGTGCTAAGAATATCGTCTAACATTATGCAGTAATCCATTTTCCAAGATAAAAGTCTATTTTTGTAATGAGGATTATATTGGAGAGGCTCAACTATATTTTTACTAGAGTTTGAGAAAAAAATTATGTAGTCTCCATTTAAAATAAAAAATATTAAAGTTAATATATATCACAAATAAAGTTTTTAATATCACCATTGAATTTTGTCTCTGTTACTGAAAAATATAACTAATTTTTATCGAAAATATTTATTATAATCGTATATTAATTAATCATTAATTATCATGGAAATTAAAGATTGTACAACTTTTTAATATTTTAATTTTTTTACGACAAACTATTATCTGTAAAAATGACGGAATGCGCATCCGAATTGCATAGTAGAGAACTGCAATGAATTAGTTACAAGTTATATTATATAATGTAAAATACTCAAATTTTCCGAAGAATAATTCTATGCAAAAGCAACTTATCTGAAGGAAATCCATTTCCTTTGTACCTATTTGTAATCGACCCAATGTTTTACCACTTACACATATTCTTGAAGTAATATTTCAGTAGAAATGAGCATGCAAGCGTCTTGAAGAGAGCACAAAGAAAATTTATATTATAAATTAAAATGTCATGCAATATTGTGAAACTTGTGTGTGTTTGAAATAATATTCAGTGTAAAAAAGCGAGAAATATCTGTTTATAAATAATTATTTCGCAAATTAGTAAGAATTTTATGAATTTTATCATTCAAAGTGAATCTCAAAAGTAATTCTTATGCAACGATTTCATCTCTGTTTATCATCTTGTTATAACACAAGGAAAGATTTTATAGATGTGTCAAAAAAATGGAATTACATCACAATATAATGTTAAATTGTTACACTTTCAAAGGAATAGAAAATTGAAAAGAAAATCACGCATCAGAGAATCAACAGTCCGTTAAACATCAAAGGAGCAACGATAATCCAAACCTTTGAGTTAAATAACATTTTACTTTTTTAACTGCCATGTCCAAATGTAAATCAATTTATTTCTGTGGTTGAATTGCTTAGTTCCAAAATAAACAATGTCTGTATTAATGTACACATTGATAAATGATAAGCTAAAAAGTCAAATTCTTAAATTGTTCAACTCCATTATTTTAGTTAAATTAATAATAAAATATATCGAATAGAAGCAGTACGACCTATAGAAATAATAAAAAATATGGAATTCAGTATAATTTGACATTATAAATTTAACAGTTTTTTTTTGTTTTTATCGATAAATGAGCCTTTAAATGTGCATTTAACATAATATATAGTGTACGTTACTATGCAATCATACATACCATAGAATCTTAAAAATAAATGAATGATTTATTGAAACAAGTTATAATGTGAATGCGGATTAACATTGTGAGATTTAAATGCGCATAAAGACCACTTTTGACAAACATTCCGATAATGAATATAAGTATAATCTCACGCTCGAAACACGAATCTGGATTGCCGTCTCCATCTGCCGACCATCGACGTCCATCAATCAATAATGGTACAATCCTAGCGTACAATTTGTTAGTGTAATAAATAAATATGCATTCTTCTCGTACTTATCGTATCCCGCTCTCTGGTATTTCACATAGATGACATATCGGGACAGGGAACATTATTGGAGAGAACGTAAGAATCTGAAAGATTTCGGGACAGAGAGTGAAAGATGACAGAGGACAGTAGGCAGCCAGGAAAAAACAAAAAAAAGAATAACTGGAAGAAACAGGTGTTATATACGAATAAGATTTGCAGGAGGGATCTGATACTTTATATTTTTATTATCACGCGTCGATACTGAGGACTGTTGAGAGGGAAATAAATAATACGAGTTATCACAAAGAAATGCAGTTTATTTACCACACCGACAAACTGTGACGTAAGCCTATTCGCTATAAGGAAAGAGTACAAAACTTATGATAGATAACGCGACGCGCGTGCGGAAGCGGTCGATCCGCGGTGGCCAGGCATCGCGGATCGACCGCCACCAACGTCTAGCGCCTCTACTTCTTTTTCTTAGGTACGGCTTTAACAAGCTCAATGCGAAAGCGACGAATTTAAGAATGGCTGCGTTCAGTAGAGAAAGCAGCTTTGCAACTATTGATAAGATTCTTTAACATCATTGGATCTTGTTTCTAGTTTCTCAAAGGATCGAAAAGTATAAACCAACCATATTGAAGGATCTGACAACAGTTACAAAGCTACTTTTTCGGTTGAGCGTAGCCGATGCCTCCCGAATCTCAGGTAGAAATCCTTAGAAGATCAAAATGACATCAAAAAGAAGTTATTTTAGAAAATATTTATAATGATATCATTTAATATACTTTTAACGACGATTTTGTGCTCAATCGTTGACATAATAATAGTTGATATTTCAATTAAAAAATTAAAATTTATTATCATGTTAAGAATTCATTACAAAATCATCGTCAAAAGTATCAAGTGACACCATTATAAATTTTCTTAAAATAACTGCTATTTGATGTCATCTTGATCTTATGATTTTATTTTACCTGAGACGTGACAATGTTATATGCGTGTGCGCTTGCACTCGCAGAGCAAAGAAAATGCGAAGCTATACCGTATTTCAGCGACGCGGGATCACGCTTCGCGGATCGACAAATGTAGGAACAATGGCGCTCGGCCGTAATTACGACTATCACAATGTATAAAAATGCAGGTTTACCGTGTGCATAGCGTGGACAAATAGCTACATTAATGTTCTCCGGCGGTACCTTTTTATCCGACGGCGTCAGCCAGAGGAGATGCAAGATGTGTGAGCTTCGAGCAGCAGTCTTTTCAATTTATATTTCTCTATACAATTTCGTTATTTCGCTCAAATTTTCTATTGTAATAATATTGATCAATTAATTTTTTATGTTGTTTGATTCCGAGATGTTTAGTTTCGAAAATTAATTGAAATATGATTATTCAGATATTAATTGGAATTCGGATGTGCGTAATGGTATTCGTTAATACTCACATAATTTGTTAAATAATTAATTAGTAAGAAACTATTTTCTTCTCTTTCAGTTAAGCAGGAAAAGAGCCAAACGATTTAAAAAGTTACAATATGTTCTCTACGAATTAAATACCTTATAACCTACGAAATTCTACAAATTATATGTTCTACGAAACAAATCAAAAGTAATCACAATTTAAGCATAATGTAAAGTTAATCTAGTAAACACCAACAGTATATATACATATACATATATATATATATATATATGTGTATATATAAAACACGACTGTTATAATTTTCCACTGAACAATATAACTGTAATATAATATGTTATATTACAGTTATATTGTTAAGTGGAAAATTATGACTAACAGTTATGTACTTGATGTTTGCTGGGAATATTTTGATAAAGTAAACAAGAGAGAGTATTTCCTTCAGAAAACTGCTGCATCGTTACTCGCGGCAAGACAGTCCCGTCAATTACTATACGTAAGCTTGTGCAAAGTCCACGGTCTTTCATCCTCAATGCCGAATCCGAGACGACGCGGGAGACAAAGAGAAAATGTGGGAGGAACCGGAGGATACTTGTATTTACGTAACGTCAAGGAGAGAGCTCCACGGATTTAGGGGAACAGATTCGTTAGAATGCTGTAACACAGTACGGACACACAGAAGACGGTGGTTACCATTTGCATCGGTACACTCATACTGGCACTGGACGTTTCCTCGTGCTCGTCGGGCCCTGACTGCTCGGTGCCCTTCGACCGCGTAGCGTCCGCGACTAATGCACCATTCTCAATGTTAGTTTTTGAATCTACGAGGTCAGTCGTTTGAGAACAAATCGTTTTCTCCTGCGCGCTGCTAGCCTCTACGAGCTCTTCGTCGAGCTCATCGTCGTCGTCGTCGTCGTCGTCGTCATCGTCGTCAAGTATAACCCACCCGTTCTCGTCGATGTCGCCCGTATCTTCGATCCCGTCGAACCCAATCGCTCCGTTCGCGGACTCGGTTCTAGTAACGTCTCGATTGGAAGAAGCTTCAATTGGAGAAGTTGCCCGATCGGACTCGCTTTCCGACTCGTCGGAGACCAGCCATCCGTTCTTACCCAGACTGCTCTGTCTGTATACGCGACTTCTCGGCGGAACCTCGGTGAATCCTTGCCATTCGCTCGAAGGAATCACCTCAGCATCGTCGATGATGATGCTCGACCGTGTGGAAGAATCCTCGAGGTTGCTAGACATCTCGTTGTGTCCCTCTTCGGCAATTCTTGGGATAATTTCGTCAGTACGTGTCCCTGCTGCGTCGTTGATGTCGCTGATAGAGTCCGCAGTCTGTTCAAGTGGGCGATCGACCGTGGATTCAGAATCCTGGATCGTGGATACTGTTCGCAGATCATTCGGTAGATCTTGCTCTATATCCTGCTCCGTTACCACCCAGCCATTGTCGTCGAACATCTCCTCGATGCTCCTCTCGTCGATTATAGAAGCGCTCCGACGCTTCAGATCCCTCTCGTAACGGTCGTCAGGCATCACGCTGCTTTGGATGTTCGAGCTAATACTAAGTACCGTGGTTTCCTCGTCACTCTCGGAGTTCGAGGACTCTTTATTCTCCTCGTTAGCCTTGCTTTCAGCGTTATCGTTATCGTCGTAATTTCTATCATCCTTATTTTCCTTTTTCTTATTCTTCACGTTGCAGTTTTCATCTCGAGACTCGTCTTCTTCCTCATTTTCCTCCTCGGAGCCACTTTCGGAATCATTTTCCGATTCGCTGTAAGACATCGTTCGTCCACTAATGGAACTCGAACATTCGGAAATACTGTGAGACTCTTTAGATCTCGAGCGATCTCTGCGCTCGTCGATCATCTCAACGATTTGATTCGTAGAATCTAACATAGGCTCTTGGGCGACAATCGCATCAACGTCTTCTACGATGATTCGGAAGATACTAGAAGCGTCCTCAAAGTCACGCTTTTCAGATGTTATTTCTTCTGTGTCGCTTCTTCTCGTGTCGGAATCATCTTCAGTCACAAGAGTAGATTCGTCCCGGTTGCGACTTTCTTCGTTCCCGGAATGATCTTGTACTAATGCGTCGTCTTCGAGTGTCACACTCGCAACTCGACTACCGCCGCGGCTATTCCCGAGGAGACTTTCGGGTTCGCTTATCGCGAGGTAGGAAGAGGTGGATGAGGTGGTCGATTTGTCCGTAATAACGTCCGTTTGTGCCGAGCTAGTGTTCGTCGCCTGCGATTTAAGCGCGTCCCCGTCGGCGTCGACGTCATAAGCGGAATCCGCGATCGTAGCCGTAGTCGTGATTACTTTACCGTCGTCGACGCGACCGGCCGAGCACCTGTCGTCGATACCGTCCGCGCTAAACGTCCTAAAACGATTACGGTCGAGGGGGTTACTGGAATTAGAAGTGGCCTCATCATGAGCAGTCGTTTGACCGTGAGCTACGTGCGCTACGAACCTGCTGGTGTAGCCGCCCGGCGTCGACGTCGTCGTCATCGCGGCGCCGCCACCGCCGCCGCCGCTCGGCGTCATCGTCGTCGTCATCGTCACGGATTGCGCGGGGCTGCCCCTCGGCGACGAATACCTGAGACACGAGTGATCGGTAGGAATTTTCTTTTTTTACTCTGGGCTTCTGATTTAATTCTACTACTATTACTAAGGGATAAGTGCTTTGGGGTGCCGGCTTGATTGCGTTCTCGAAAATACAACTCATCGAGCGACGTACAATAGCACGTCGGCTTCGATAATCTTTCTCTCTTTAAGATTGAGGTCACGTTTATTTCCTAACTGCCACTGATTCTTAGGCAAGCTTATCGCGCGTCTTCCATTAGGATTGAGACGCGAGATTGCACGATTAATGAGCTTTGATGATGTTACCGCATGTATTTATCTTACTCTATACATTTCAAGCCAACTTAACATCTAATTAACTATTATAATTTAATTTTCCGTTACATAAGAAATAAATGATTTTGAAATGATAGTTAAATTATAGAACAGAAATCTCCCAATTTCTAGCTAGGATGAGCAAATTGTTGAATACGATTTTAATCAAGTAATCAATAAAAACATCAATAAAAATAAAGGTTAACTGATTTCTTAAATGGAAAATGAATGCACCGTTTTATCACGCGCTTCTCGAGTGCAAACGCGTGCTCGCGATCAAATTTACGCGTCCTAATGTATTACAATTCATCGCCAGACTGAACGGCTAATCAGTTTCCGCAACGCTACGTGGAAAGTTTCTGATAGCAGCTGACGCGATGGGGAACGGGCCACGTGATTCTTTTACAAAAGCCCGAGGGAGTCGTCAGGTCAGGCCAGAGAAAGCACTTACGGCTTTGCCTGGTCTCTCCCTATTCTCTCGACCGCCTCTCGTTTCCTTAGGCCACAGTTTCGGGCTAGGGGATTGCGACTGTTGAGAGAAAGGATGGGGTGAGTTTACTTCGAAATTCAGCGCGAGTGAGCGCATTCGTATGCTCTCGAAAGCGATGGAAGAGAACGTCGCATGTACGCGATGCTGCCGTTCTCGTAACGAGCGCAAATAAACACGCGGAAACTCTGTGATAGTTTGTGCGAGCAACGAACGTGCAAGTTGGCAACATCGAATTTTTGAGTACCGAGAGAAAAAGAGAGAGAAAAAGAGAGAGAGAGAGAGAGAGAGAGAGAGAAAAAAAGAGAGAGAGAGAGAGAGAGAGAGAGAGAGAGAGAGAGAGAGAGAAATAATTGCTTTTGAAAATCATGTATCAAAAAAGAGAAATGAAAAAAGACAGAATTGCAGCTAATCTTCACTCAATTTCACGTGAGAAAAGAAGAAAATTGAAGATATTGAATAAGTAAATATATATATATATATATATATATATGGGGCATTCCATCAGAGCAGCTCTGTGAAGTTGGCACCCCTAATTGCGAATTTTGATAAAATCATTATTGCATTCGTTTGTCCACTGTTTGTCCACGTTTGTCCACCCATTATTTTCGTTTGTCCACCCTATTTTTATTGTATTTTTCATTATTAAGAAAAATATAATAATAATAATAATAAATAGTAGTAATAATATAATAATAAAATCCAAAAGTTTTCGAGTGGCACACTTGTGGGATGGAATGCCCCATATATATATTTATTTTCATCCTTTTTGATTTTTATTTTAATGAATATAACTTCTATAGAACATTTTCATTAATTTTTCTATATTTTCCTAATGTTCCATCATTTTATTACCTCAACTATTCTTTTTACAATCTTTATTGTGCATAAGTTTTACTTGTATTTCTATTTGATAATGACTCGAATGAGTGAAGATTTTCGAAAAGGCATTAATTGTCAACTGCTATGAATAAATTTCTGAGATACAGTATCACAATTGTAATATAAATAAATATTGTTATCTCTTATACATATTAAAACGTAACATAGCTTCATTTTTTTATTTATATTTGTATGATAAATAAAATGGCCAGGCAAGATAATTTTTTCGAGATCAAAAATTTTTTTTATTATTATATTAGTTAAGGATTAAGCCTCTCGCTTATCGTACGGATTCGTTCTAAGAAATGAGAAATACTTGCCTGGTAGAAGGTGAGTCTTCCTTACTTCCTCTCCTAGCTTCAGCGCTACGAGCAAGAAGAGGTCCAATGTCAGTACGCGCCATGGCGGATTCGCTTCTCTGACGATCTTGAGAAGTAGCGGAAGTCGTAGTTGGAGTAGTCTTGGACGGATGACCATCTGTTTCCGACTCTTCCTCTGTGTCCGACTCCGTCTCCTCAGAAGAGCTGCTTGTTTCTTCGTCTTCATCCTCCTCTTCTTCCTTCTTCTTTGCCACTGGTTCCTCACGCGGCGTCTGAACCGGCGGTGGTGGAGCCGCACGGTTACCTAAAAATCCAAGAATTCATGTTGATGTCATTTCCATTTTTAATTTCTTGACGTAATTATAGAATTTAATTCACACAATTACGATAAATCTTACATTAAGAAAAAAGTATTTATAATAGTATTTGTGACCACAATTGCTTAGTAAAATAATCATAATTAAGGAGCATTTTTATTATTACTATGTTAGTAATTTATAATTTTAAAGAATACATATATAGTTAGCAATCAGTATATATTTCGTAATTGATGATAAATGATATAACAGGATTCAACATTAGTCGCAAATCAATAGCAAGCTTTTTGCAAATATTCTTGACATTTCTGATTGGCTGTTGTAACAAGCGTACATAAATTAATCGATTTACGATTAATGTAGATCGAATCAGCTTAAAAAGTAACATTTAAGCACCTTTAATAAATATATTTTAAAGTTTTCTTTTCATCTTGTGATCGAAATTATTGTACACTATACAGGAAAATTAGACTTGGTTTTAATATTATTATAAAGAAATATCGTAATATTGAGTTAAGCAACACAGATAAAGGATATGGTGAGCGACAAGCGGTGAGGACCTGTCGCGGTGCATAGGAATATGCTCAGGAAGAGGGTTGTCTTTCCTTTATGTCGTCTACATGTTCACAGTTGACAGAAACAAGATGCGAAAGCGAATTGATCATATCGACCAACGGAAGAGGTCGGAAACAAGAGGTAGTAACGCGAATATCGTCACGTCCGCCTGCGTGTCTCGTTTACGGCAAAATACATTGCTTCCCCGTCTTAACGTGAGTTTCAACGGGATATGACAACCGGGATACAGCGTCGGAAAAGCGGAGCGACAACGTTAACTAAGAGCGCTGAATGGATAACGTAATTATCGTGCCGTGTACTGCTCTGCGCCTTTGCTTGTCGGTGGATGCCAATTTCAGTGAACTTTCGAATCTTGCGATATCGCCATCGCGATTACATTTTCGAATTGCAACGTTGCAATTCGTTGCACATTCGTGTGGTGCTTCACGCGGTAGTGTTTTACGCACACCCTTCGCATACTAAATTGTAGGGCGATTGTGATGGATATGCGAACATTCACGATCGAACACGGACCGCCTTTCTACATCAAACCCAATGTTTGTTTGTTAAGGTTGAATCAGGTATAGTCTCTGCAAAAAGTGACTGAAATTGAAAATTTATACTTTCCGTATAAAAGTGAATGTCATATACATACAAAAAAGTAAATACCGTTCGATAAAGTTAATATTTGCATTTAACAACGCCATTTTATAGTTTAAATAAAAATTTTATTATTTTTTATTTTTATTTAAAAAAAAAAAATTT